ATTTACCAAAAGAAACTTACTTTCAATAAAAATAAAAAAAATACAGACAGCAATAATTTTCCTTTCCTAGATTTGGATATTTTAGTTTCACACGGGAAACTTTATATAAAAATTTACGACAAGTGACACATCATTTCACAAATTGTCGACTATCTAGTCGCGTTTATATTTCAATGACCCTAATTTATGTATAACTGGTAAATTATTAATTTAGGAATTTCAATGCTCTTCAACTTCGTACTTTATTTGGCCTTTTTAACTTTTTTGATTCGCGCGTCACTGATGAGTCTTTTGAAGACGAAACGCGCGACTGGCGCAAATACAAAATTTTAAAGCTGGTATCTATGATGAGTTTATTTACTACCACAAATTAATTAGAACATTTACCAAAATTCTTCTATAAATATAAAAGCTTTAGTTTGGAAATTTGGCTATAGAATTCTTATTAAAACGAGACATCACGATAAAGCTGCTAATAATATTATTATTGTTTGACGTAAATTTTACATTGAGGTTCTGAAAAAAGAAATCACCAATTCACCAACATTCCAACTGACTCCACTTTCAGAAAACGACATCTGTAACAAACATAAACTTTTAGCTACCGCTTTACAAGCAGAACCAAATACAATGAAAGTCCCAACTATGTATTGGCTTCCGAAGCTACACAAAACACCATACAAATATAGATTCATTTCGTCTTCAAGCCATTGTTCCACTACTAAATTGTCTATTCTTCGTACCACTACACTTGGTACAATCAAAAACCTGATAATAAATTGTTCAAATAAGGCCTTCGAAAATAGTGGAATTAATTACTTTTGGAGTGTCAAGAACTCGTTGAAAGTACTTGATAAATTACATGCATATATTGGTGATTTTGAATCTGTTCAAAGTTTTGATTTTTCTACCCTATATACCACATTGCCTCACATTCTCATTAAGAAAAAAATTACACACCTAATTAAATGGGCATTTAAAAAGTCAGAATGTGAATATATATGTTCAAACTCTTTTAGGTCATTTTTTAGTAGCAATAAACAAAAAAACTATGTCAATTGGACATGCTTTGATACTATATATGCCCTTGCATTTTTACTAGATAACATTTTTGTTCGCTTTGGAGATTCCGTATATCGTCAGGTTATCGGAATTCCAATGGGGACTAACTGTGCACCACTTATTGCGGACCTTTTTCTGTATTGCTATGAGTTACAATTTATGACAAAAATCAGCAAAGACCCATCGAAACAACATTTGATACACAAATTTAATAATACTTTTAGATATTTGGATGATATTTTGGCTCTCAATAATGACGACTTCAGTATGTATACTAAAGAAATTTATCCTGTTGAACTTACTTTAAATAAAGCTAATACTAACAATGACCACTGCCCTTTCCTCGATCTTGATATCTATATCATTAACGGAAAGCTTAATACTAAAATATATGATAAAAGAGATGATTTTTCATTTCCTATCTCTAATTATCCATTTTTAGATGGTGACGTTCCCTTGTCACCATCTTACGGTGTTTATATATCTCAACTTGTACGATTCGCTCGTGTATGTAACAATGTTTTAGATTTTAACGAGAGAAATTTATGTATTACTGAAAAATTATTACACCAGGGTTTTCGATAACACAAACTAGTCAAAACATTTACTAAATTTTATCATCGGTATAAGGAAATCATTCGTAAATATAGCTCAACATGCAGACTTCTTATACGTTCAGGTATTTCACATCCAATTTTTTATGGAAATATTCTTTATAAAGCACAAAAATGTCAGTATTCACCTCTGAAGCTAACAAAGCCTTTAAATAGACTTATTAAGAAGGGATATAGTTACGATACTGTTGTCAGGTCATTAAAGATTGCATATTTTGGCGTTAATATTGATTCACTTATAGGGTCTTTGCATCGGCACTAAACACATTTATTTAAAAACCAGTTGTTGGTATGACACGGGTTATGTTCTTCTCATATATGTTATGATGGTATGATACTAAACCCCTATCGGGAAGGATTGTGCCTGATATTCATATGATGAAGACATAATCTTTCAATCAGTTTAATTGAAGTCTGGAGCTGGCATGTCAGTTAACTGCTAGTAGTCTGTCGTTATTTATGTATTATTGTCATTTTGTTTATTTTCTTTGGTTACACCTTCTGACATCAGACTCGGACTTCTCTTGAACTGAATTTTAATGTGCGTATTGTTATGCGTTTACTTTTCTACATTGGCTAGAGGTATAGGGGGAGGGTTGAGATCTCATAAACATGTTTAACCCCGCCGCATTTTTGCGCCTGTCCCAAGTCAGGAGCCTCTAGCCTTGTTAGTCTTGTATTATTTTTAATTTTAGTATCTTGTGTACAATTTGGAGTTTAGTATGGCGTTCATTATCACTGAACTAGTATATATATTTGTTTAGGGGCCAGCTGAAGGACGCCTCCGGGTGCGGGAATTTCTCGCTGCATTGAAGACCTGTTGGTGACCTTCTGCTGTTGTCTGTTCTATGGTCGGGTTGTTGTCTCTTTGACACATTCCCCATTTCCATTCTCAATTTTATCACATCATAATTTGTACGGTAATATGGTTTATAGAGCCAGTAAAATTAGATCCGGTCCATGTAAATTTATTGAACCTTTGAATAAAGTTATTCTAAACAGTCATGAAAAAATCACATTAGTTAAATCTTTAAATATTATTTTTATCGGTACTAGCATTGATTTTGTTTTTGAAAAATGAAAACATAACTATATATAAATTGCTATATATGTACAGTACATCCTGTCGATACTGTTCACTTACATTTGGCATTTCACAAGGTCATGCGGTTTTTCAGACTGTTTCTGAAGTCTTTTCATTGAATCCGTTAGGTATATACTGACTGATACATTAGTCTGGGAGAACATGATTTATTTATTAGTTGTTATTGACTTTGAAATTATTTTCAGTAACTGAGAGTATTCTTATTTCGGTGCTTTGTGTCGATTTTTTTTATATTAGTTGTTTTTCATGCTTCGTATCGAACTATTGGGTTAAGCCAATTGATTTTTACCGTTTGTTATCATATTGTGCTGTTTCACCACTGTCACGGGTAAGGTGTAGGGTTGAGCACACACAAACATAGTTAACATTTGGTATGTACCTGTCCGAAATTATTAGCCTGTAGTTCAAGGGTTGTCGTAAGTTCAATGTCTATCATATTCGCTTTTCGTAAACTATTTTGTTTTCAATTAGGTGGTAAGTTTTCTCGTTTAAAATGTTTCAAATTTTTTATGTTTAATGCTAACTGCGATATGGGTTGTGCTCATTGTTGGAGGTCGTAAGATTCCCTATAATTGCTTAAATCGACGTTGTTTGGACTCTGGCAGTTTTAGTTGAATCTTATAAATAAACTCATTATAGATACCAGGATTGAAATTTTGTATTTGCGCCAGACGCGCGTTTCGTCTACAAAAGACTCATCAGTGATGTTCGAATAAAAAAAAGTTAAAAAGGCCAAATAAAGTACGAAGTTGAAGAGCATAGGACCAAAAGTTCATAAAAGCTTTGCCAAATATAATTAAGGTAATCTATTCCTGAGGTAAAAAAGCCTTTGTATTTCAAAAATTCAAAGTAGCATATCTTTTTCTTTCAAGCCACTTAATTTACAGGATACTACACAGATATTTGTTATTTTTAAATTACTAAATGGTTTACAGAGAAAACACCCACAGAAAAAAAAACACGGCACAGATCATAGAAGGTAGGAATCAGGTACCCCACATGACGGTAAGATATTTGTTAAAATAATATTAACAATAAATATTTTATCGCATTTGACACTAAAGGTAGCTACAGAATGAGATTGGATAAGTGATGATAAAAGATTTAAGCTCGCCTTACGATAAAGGACGTTCATACCCTCATAATATTATATTTACTACGGCATATAACAGATGCTCTCCCTGGTATTTTTACATGTATTTATGAATCTTTATTATAAATAGTCCTTTATTTAATATTTTTCGTCATGTTACATGTGAGTGAACTCAAACAAAAAAATAAATCTGATTCCAGTACTTATTGTTAATAGTCATTTATTTAGCATTTTCGCCATGCTACGTGTGAGTGAGCTTCAACAAGAAATAAATTTGATTGCGGTACCACAGCACTGCAATTGTCAGGATCATCAGTTCAAAATTGACATTAAGAAAAGTAAAACAGATCAGAGAGGTCATTCGACGTGCATCGTCATAAATAAATATACAGATAACGCAACTATTTGCCCTATCTTTTCTTTGAAGAAGAACTTAAGATAATTTTGGTTTCTTTGACGAGTTTTTGTATGCATTTCCTTCAGGATTGTGATAATTTATTTATTCAGTTAGACAGGCCATCGCTTACACGGAATCAACTGTCAGCTATATTGAGAAAATCACTAACAAAGTTAACATTAATAACCCTAAATCGCATTTTTGTTAAAAACCACAGAAGCGAGCACTCGCAAAATAAATGACGAAGCTCTTAAAAAGCGGGGAAATGGTCGTCATAAGCATTTTAACACCGCTACATCAAAATTCCTTGGTGATAATTTATTTTTTATATCATTTCGACTTTTCTTTTACGTGCACATATAGAACATTCATAAACTAATGTTAGCATCATTATAGGAAACACGGTTTAACATTAAAAATGTTAGACACTTCAACAGCGGATGTCTTTACTTCCCTAAACGTTGTCATTATGAAAAGGTGATGATGATGACATATCTGTGATAGTCTCGTTAAAATTTATTTTCTTTTATTGACAAAACACTTGACATATTGTACAGATACGGCTCTAAGTCGGCATAGTGCCGGTCTGTCTTTTTTTGTTTTTGTTTGGTTTGATTATTGTCTCATTGACTTAGTATGCACGACGTTTCGTTTTATTCGTTTTTATTCTGATGGTAAATTTTTCTTGATCTGTTGGTATGTTACAATCGTATTCTTGAGAATAATTGATATGTCACAAAACATTTATTCAAAATCATAATCAAATATTGATTGCACTTTTGGATCTTCTGTTCGACGAACTGTTTCAATATGGAGTCGACTATTTGTAACCTGAAAACCAATACAAACATTATGGAATTATAACATAATGTACTGAATATTCTCTATCGATGATGTCGCTTTTGTCAGAAATATAAACAAATGCAAATTTTTGAAGATTTAATACCAATTAGTGGATTTCGTTTTGCTTACGAATAAGCTTATTCAATTGAAATCGGCATTTTTCATTAGTTTTGTTGTTTTAATGAATGGTTCAAATTAACCAACGTAAATAAACCAAGTACCCAACGAATAAAGGTGTTTTCTAATAATATTATTCAATTGTATTTCATTGCTGTCTTTTTTAAACTTTTTAGTTTTGTTTCCATTTCTCTTTTTTTCAACTTTTTGATGTATCATATGTTAGAAAGATCCTGAAGTATTAAATTGTGCCTATGCTAAAAAAAGTCCAAATTGAATTGCTCATCAATCTCTTGTCGACAAAACTCGCATATCATTTTATAGTATTGTACATTAGTTTTAAATTCATTTTATTAAATGGTCAATGAAACAGATTCTTAAACTTAATACTTTTTGCATCAACCAACCAATTAATTGATTAGCGCTTAAAAGCATAGATAAGAAAAGAACTAAAATTGTTCAAAAACATTTTTCTCATATATAATTGTAAATGACAAAAAACAAACACCTTATCATTTTTTGTGACGTTGTTCCATTCGTGTGACGTGCAGTTTTTATTTCGTTTGTGGTGTCCTTGTGTGTTGTCGTCAATTCAACGGAGGTGTTCGTTGTTATCCTGCGGTTTACATATTGTAATGCACTATTATATTATTTATTTATGTATTTCTCTGTGCTGAGTGTTTTTGCGTTTGTTTGTACTGTATTCCTGTCACGCAGTGTTGTCATTTTAGCTGTATTTTTAACATTGCCATATAAGCGGGAGGTTTTTTCTTAAAATGTCCTGTTCCAAGTCAGGAATATGACAGTTGTTAACACACAGTCCGTTTCTTTGTATGTTGGCGTTTTCTCTTGTTATAGTTCAGTGTTTCTGTTGTTACGTTGTTTTCCTCTTATAGTTAAAGTGTTTCCCTCGATTTTAGTTTGTTACCCGGATTTGTTTTTGCTTAATCGAATTATGACTATTGAACAGCGGTATACTACTGTTGCCTTTATTTAACACAAACTCTTTTTACGTACTCAACTCAACCTAGAGCCAAGGAAAAACGCTTTTATATCTGTTCTTCATATGATAGTCATAGTAAGGCCTTCAGTAAGAATGAAAAATGTAAACCTCACTTCAATTTTGAAGACGGTCGCTGCCACCGTTTGAGCGAGATCCTTCGTTAAATGTTGAAGCAGGTTAATATCAACAGCCCTACGGTCTGGAAAATACTTTCATGTGTTGCAATGCAATCTCCATGCAAAATACATAAACAATTATAAAGAAACATAAAGTAATATTATACAGAACATATCAATATGTTGTTTGATAACTTGATGCATAAATTGGTTACATACAGACCTTTTAGTTTCTGTGACGCTTGCTGATTAAGTTATCAGAGAAAACGGACTAATAATGATATTACTACTTGCCACGAATACAGCATCCTTTATAAGAATGACAATTGTAATAGTCCTTGCTATTATAATAATAGGAGCCATGGTTGTTATAAAAATAGTAATTTTTTGGACATCCTTTATCGTTGGTGCAGTAGTACTTGAATTTGCTGTAAGGGTTACCTAAAAGCCAAAATAGAACAAAAAGAAAACTTGAAATAAAATACTGTTTATTCGGAAATAAGATCAAATCATCACTAAGACTCTAAGCGCAAACCGAATATGATTGATTAGCTATTTTATGATAGATGAATAAAATCAGCACATAAACGTTTTGTCTTGTTTTGTATATGGTCATATTATATAAAACAAATTCATTAATTTATTTGATTTTAAGCTAGCTTTCCTCTTTATTGTAGCATAATTATGCACTTATATGTAAATCACGTTTTGCCTTACTTATTTAGTTCTCATGTACGCTTTCAAGAGACGTTTAAAGTATACATGTAATTTTCACTCACTTGAATTTGGTTAACTTCTATTACGATTATGTAGTAAAGCCGTTAACTAAATGTACTCTCATAAAACAAAAACGCTTTGTTATTACGTTTGTATGATGTTAAAATAGTTGATGGTGAGGTTTCAGGTGAGTTGCATTTAACTATATAAAACTTCTATAGTTTTTTGTTTTATTATTGTTTTTTTTTAATATTATTGATTTTTTATAAGTTTGATAAAAAAAAAGAGAGTGAGTATACTAGATGGGCATTTGAAATCATACGTCTAAAGAGATAACACCATAGCGAAAAAATATAATGGATAAACAACAATAACAACAAATTACTTAAATAATGAAATTTTAATAGATAATAGATAATAAATAAATAAATTGATTAATTAATTAATTAACTAATTAATTAATTAATGATTAAATTGAGTGTTTTCTAGATTATCGTTTCATACATCTATTACTATATTTGTAACCGTACTATTGTATGATATATGACTGTCAATGAAAATAACGCTTTATAGATTTGGTTTCGTCAGAAACGCTTTTCTGGAATTAACGTTATCCTGAACGCTCAAACTCAAAAGATTGAAAGACAAGGATCTATAAATACTTAAATACTTGAAGAGCTATATGACCAAAGGAACATAAAAAGAATAGCCAAGTACACTGAATGTTGAATTTGACTGAGTGAGCTTACACCTTTGTTTTTGATAATTTGTTTATTTCTCAACAGAGAATTTAAGAATGGTATGTTTTAATCATTTCTGTATCGAGGCGGTTATACTCAATTGAAGTTATCTTTGGGAACCAGCTGTTGTATCGACCTAGTGTAAAAAAATGAAAATAACACTATAAATTTAGATGCGCCCGAAGTGCTTTTCTTGCGTTAGCACTTTCTCCATCAGAAACTTTCATACCCAAAAGATTGCACCTTAAGGATTTATAAAAAGAATACTTGAATCTTTTCAAAAGTCTATTTAAAGTTGTCGGATTGTCTCCCGGTAATAATGTTAACGTTGTTCATGATATTGTTATTCTTTCAGGTATCTAACTTTATTTTGTAGGATGATAAAGTTTTGGTGATGGGCATGAATTGGATTGAGCAATTAAACTCACCATAGATACCAGAATTGAAATTTTGTATTTGCGCCAGACGCGCGTTTCGTCTACAGAAGACTCATCAGTGACGCTCGAATAAACAAAAAGTTAAAAAGGCCAAATAGAGTACGAAGTTGCAGAACATTGAGGACCACAAATTCCTAAAAGTTTTACCAAATACAGCTAAGGTAATCTATTCCTGAGGTAGAAAAGCCTTAGTATTTCAAACATGTAAAGTTTTGTAAACAGTTAATTTATAATTATGACCATATCAATGATAATTCATGTCAACACAGAAGTGCTGACTACTTGGCTGGTGATGCCCTCGGGGAATTAAAACTCTATATTTTTTTCTTATTAAGAGCCAGTTTGCCAGAAAACAATGCAATGTTATCATATTGACTCGAAATTTTGCAAACATGATACCTTCATGACAAATACTCTTTGTGCAAAATATTCTTTCAAGATATTCAATAGTAGTCTCTTTATGGAGCACCATCTATATTTAGCAATTTATGATGAAAATAGGCTAATTTCAGCAGATTTAAGCTGACAAATACCAGCGTTTTTCAAATTGTATCTACTTTATTGGTTAACTGTAAAAGTATGTTCATACCTGAGGTTAAATTTTTTTCCTATATTTGCTCATTCTAGTATAAGTATCCAGAGTTTAACGAAACAGCTAAAATGGTGAAATTTGCTAGTTTCTAAAAGTCTATACTTTCTTAAATGGCAAAAATATTTGAATGCCATTTGTTTTTTCATAAACCCAATCATACATCTACTAAATATAAAAAAATCCAATTTCGGCAATTGATCATAGTACTCATTGTAAAATCATAAGTTTGGAAGGAATTGTGGTTTATCAGATGTTACCCTATATTATTTTTTTTATTTGGACTCGTCAATAATCCCCCTCTCTGGCCCCACCTGGCAAAGTATTTCCCGGGCGGAAAAACCTGGGCCGAGTTTTTCCCGGGCTGGGCAATACTCCCTGAAATGGGTAATACTGGACAATATGATTTTTTGAGCTTTTTTTAACACAGAATAGTGAAGAAATATTGTAGTTTCATATTATTATTAACAAAATTATACATCTTATACAGATTAACTTAGAGATTCAATTGCAGAGGATAAAAAATTGAATTCTTCAATAATTCTATATAGGAAGATAATAATTAAGTTGTGCAAAGTTTTAGTCGCAAAAGTTTGAAGATATCAAATCTAGTGTAAATCATAATTGCTACTCATTAAAATGCTAAATAAACACCCTCAGGGGTCATGTCATCCAATGCAATATAAACAAATCTGTGTTATAATCTGAATAATCACTTATTAATTAGTGATGCACAAATGTACATGTATCTATGTTAAAGTTGTATAGACACTTTTCAGCAATTAACACAATTGTTGAAGAGTCCATATTCCTTTCATATCATTGTTTACTTTACATGTTAGTTATTCATGTTATATACGTATATTATGACAAAATTGACTATGGCTTGAAGTTTTACATATTTAGACAGATATAATGGTAATTTAAAAATGTTAAGGATGACTATCTATAAATCTTAATGAGAAAACCTTTTGAATTTGTATGTCTTAGAAAATGCTGTTGTTATACTTTCTAAAATGCAAATACACTCTAAAACAAATGAACTTAAAAATTAAAATATCATGTTTTATGCATAACATTTGAAATTAAGCACTGACTACTTCTAGAGATTGAGGCCGGTATTTCAGATTACCCAGCATTGCCCGGTAAAACCCAGTAAAACCCGGGTTTTCCCAGTATTTCCCACTGACTAGGCAATGCTCATAAAACCTGTTTTTTTCCAACCCTTTAGTGGTTGCAGAGTAGTTGCGGACCGCAGATAGTTACACTACACCACTACTGGTTTTCTTCTTTTTGGTCTAAAGTTTCCTCATAAACCCTCAAAATATAAAACAAACATATGGTGCACAATTTCACAACCCTCACTAGGCATATTATTACTTTGGTTTAAATCCATTCTGTACTTTGAGAGGACTTAAAAGGGTTGAAAATATATTACAAACAAACAGACGGACGGAAATATAGACAGACATACTGACATTTTGAATATCATAACCCCCCCACCCTCCCCACTGTCATTAGCATGGGTATAATAAGTCGCTTTACAAAAGTATCAAATGGATTCAGGACAGCCAAGGAGAAAATTAATCATATCACCAATTACAACATCTTAATTAAAAATGAGGGATATGTTGTATATATTCATGAAACGAATTCTTTATATGTACTTAATCAAATCTCAGAAAATTAACAGAACTTTTGTTGCTGTTCTTCATCTAAAGTCACAATTATACTTTCAACATGTACAAAAAGATCTCACCTCACTGCAAGTTCAAAATGACCCCGTAGCACTGCTTAACTTCATTTAAACTTTAACTGTTCGATTTTTATGTACATAAAATAACATGTTATAACCATTTTCATGTTATGTTAGTTCAAAATATATGTATCAATGCAATTAATACTGGAAAGTAAAACACAAATACAATAACGGTGTCATTTGCTTGTAGTTACACTGTACTATTTCTGCAACAAGAATGAATGTCAAGTTGAAATGTCTATGTTCTCTGTATAATAATATATGTTGACAAGTCTGCAGAAACAGCATGTTCCGGTGGGTCATCTCTTGACATTCTTCCAAGGTGTTTTGCGTATCTTCATTCTCAACAATGTACATTCTATTTTTTCAATTTTAACTAATGACAACTTTGCTGGATCTTAAGTTCCAAGTTTGATAAATTTGGCAAATATACTCCAAACTTGAGATGTGGTAACCACTCATCAGAGTTAATTTTTTTGTTCCATTATCGTTCCTCAATAGTTTCAAATTATCAAAGCTTTGATAAAAAAATGTTTTTTTCTGTAGCACAACGTTCTACGTATATAGTATGTAAACATTCCTAAACCCTACTGCAAAAACGTTTCAATGGCTAATAGAAACCGTTAAAGACCATCCTTCTGCAATATTCAAATTAGTTGTCAATACTGATTGTAGCAAAACCTTAGTGCTCATGAAAATTAGCTACACATGTCTCAGCCCAGAAAAGTTTCACTTTGTAATAACCATTTTCTTTGTCGGCATATATGATATTCTAAGAAGTGAGGTTTTTGTTTAAACCTTTATGCAATTTCGCACAGGACAAGCAAATAATGGTTCATCATCTGAATTATCATCGGTGTCGGCTATTACATTTGCTCTTGGAAAATATTCAGGTTCTGCTGTTTCATTATCCTCCATCTAATTTGTCTTTGCTTATAAGAGTAATTAACAGAGCCTGGTTTGAAAGATTTATTCTTGATAAAAAGTATTTGTACCTACAAAAATACATAATCATATTATCATAATATATGGAATGGATTAAACAAAACGTAGGCAAACATTAATAAAATGCTAAAGGAATAGTGTTCTAGCCCAATACAAAGTCTCAAAAATGACCTGAGACATTATGTTGTCTCAAACAGACTACAAATTTTACTGACACTGCATTCTTTTAACAACAACACAAGGTTTACTGCTACATGTAGTGGAGCACGACAAGATAACCCTTCCTAACTACCTGAGTGCCATCTCTCATTATTTTATCATGGAGTTTGTATTTTAATTTTCTTATAATTCTTATGCAATTCATTTGTTACAACAATGTTTATTGGTTGTCAAAATATATCATAAGGGTTAGATTCAACAGTCTTCCTGTCTGTAAAGCCAGCATTTTTAATTTCTGCTATTTTTGGTATGTCTTTTCTCGAGAGAAAAAAATAATCACATTTTTCTCCGTTTTGTCAATATTAAATGGTATCTGTTTACCTGCGACTGTCACATAAATCTTATGAAATGTGAGTTCATGCCCTATGCGTATATTTAATTTGCCTACTTTCTTACGTGTGGTTTATGCCTTTAATTTTTTTTATTGGTTGGAAAAACTGGCAAAAATTCCAAAAAGGGGTGGGGTGCGGTGTAGGAAAAGGAAAACAGGAATTATGGATCTGCTGAAGAATTTTTATTTTTGTTTGAGGATTCAATAATGAAGTACAGATTGACATGTTCCTGCTTTCGAGAAGGTCTCCGTTCTTCCAATGGCAATTTATTACAATGTTATGTGATCATTCGTAAAAACAAAGATATTTGATAATCCACATCAAATTCATATGTTCCAAATGTCGTCACCTTTCTCCCGAATGTGACCTACCGAATTAGACTAATTACCGGGTTTGTACTTACATGAGCAACACGACGGGTGCCCCATGTGCTTACCCTTTCGGAGCACCTGAGATCACCCCCAGTTTTTGGTGAGGTGTGTGTTGTTCAGTCTTAAGCTTTCTATGTTATGTTTTGTGTACTGTTGGTCTTTTTCTTTTTTAGCCATGGCGTTGTCAGTTTATTTTCGACTAATGAGTTTGAATGAAAACTTCAAACATTACTATTTGATCCAAATATCTTCCAAGCTCAGCCAAATCCCCCTTATTTTCCCAAAAATTAAATGGTCCTAATGAATCTATATGTGTGTGTTTGTCTTGAGAGAGGAATTATTCTTACCTGTTCCTATGTTGATGACCTCTTTTGTCTCCAACTATTAGGTTTTGCAGACTCTCGGAGAGGCAACTCTGTCTTCTGTTGCCTTGCTGGAAGTTGGATGTTCTATGTAGCAACATTTCAGTTTACTTAAGCTTCCTCTCCAATAAATGGCAAAAATAATATCTGTGTTGCTGGCATATGTTTAACTGAAGCAATTTATCATCAATATTATAAAATCTAGTGCGATATGAAAACAAGTAAACATTCTGGGCTCACTTTGGCTTCTTTCCAGACACTGCAGTCTAATCAAATGTATATGTGTGTTCTTATTTCACTGTGAAGTAGGTATTGTGAGTGTGTCATTGTCATTATTTGGTAATTTTCCACAAGAAATACCAGCAAATATGAGAAGTCACATTTCTGGTTCTCCACTTCCATGACAGACAACTTGTGGTAACATTATGATTTACAACACATAGTATAAATAAGGGAAAATAATTCATAGAACACCTGTGACTGTTTGTTTCCTATTTCAGTGATATCTTTTGGCAATAATACATATATAATGACTTATGTATGTAAAATGTGTCATGCATTGATTTTATGTAATTCAGGTCTTAAGTTAATTCGTAGCTTAGGAACAATGGGTTTTAATTAGATTTAAACAATCAAGAAATTTATCAAAATATAGGAAACTTAGATTTAAATTTCAGTATCTTGTAATAATTTGCCAAAATTAGATTTTTGATATTTTTAACAATATCCATTTGTCTATTCACTGATGCTTGTTTCATGAAAAAAATGCCACTTCAGGAGATTGAGGACTCCAACTTCCTTCAAAACTCATTGTGACTTACAAGGCCTTCTTTACTACACCCCATCTTTTCTCCCCAATCGAATAATCGTTCAAGACAAATCTTTCTTGACGTGCTGTATTTTTGTCTAACGATGTTATTTTTAACAAATATAAGTTTAAATGGCCAGTAACAGTGTTAAAAATCAAAATTTTTTTAGTTGAAACTATACACATTTTTCACCAATTGTTTTTGGTGATTTTTTTAGCATTTATGGAAATGATGCTGTTTTGTAAAATAGACATGATGCAACGAAGTCCATCACATATTTTTACTTTTCCTTTATATATAACATTCTAAAATTTCAAAATATTTCAAAAGTTCCGACATGCCATTTGGACAATATTTTGGAGTTTGCATTGTTTTATAGCAGACTAGCTCTTAATATGTTTTCGGACTAATAAATTTATCAATTTATCAGATACCATATTTATGATTTCCGTTGTGTACACAAGACTCATCAGCGACGCTCGAATAACAAAAAATTGGGAAAGGCCAATTAAACACGAAGTTGAAGAGCATTTGATGTAAACATTTCAAAATGTTTGTGATCACAAGTATGGCCAAAGTAGAATACATTTTATTAAACAAATACATCTACTTCATTTTGAAGGAGTTCTAGAATACAAGCATTTCAGAATTATCTAGGATGGGTTTTGCCTTTGATAAAAAAATACAACGTAAACAATACTCACTTGGGAGACAGCATCCTGCATAAGAGTGGCAATCATACTTGTAAGACTTACTGCCATATTTACAATACCCTTTGTTGTCATAATAATTATATCCTGATCGACATCCACTATTAGTGCAATATCCTCTACCTCTGTTATCAAGATGTCCCGTGTAAGCGATATGAGATTTTTCTACAAGATGATAGTTTTGACAAATGTATATAAAAATGTATTTCAAAAGTAATTTGTAACTAAATAGCAGCCACAATGCACATATATAATGTAACAACAACGATAAGTGTAAAAAAATGCTTAATTTTGATATAACTACTTACTACGAAGACAACATTTTGTGCCGCTTGGACACCCGTATGTGTACCTCTTGGCACATATGAAGCCTTTGCGACAACTTCTACTCCCGCAATATCCTCCCTTTTTGTAACATTTTGGCTGGTTATTGCCAGAGTAACCTTTAAAAAAAGTTTAGAAAAGATCATGTTGATGAAAGAAAGTATAAGTAGAACAAAGAGGCAATACAAATCTCAAATAAATGTCTATCAAAATACAAAGAAAACTAAAGATTGTAAATTACTATCATAAACAAAAACCAAACGTATTTACAGAAAGATAATCCACACAGCTCACAAAGTTTAAAAAAAGTCTCATCGACAATCATACAACACTTCCTTATTTTCATATGGTCACATATTTCTATAATTGAATTTGACTTCCGATCAAAGCAATTCTTTACGACGTCCATTTATTAATTCATTACTCTACCCTTTAAACACAATATGTGCATTCTTTTTCACAGGTGTTCAAGATTGAACACTGGTTGTTACATGTTTTAATTGTGTATCTTTTTAGAGCATATAACTAATGGGCCGGAACTACTCTCAATTTTGGAGCATCGAAGTTCGTCTCATGTTTTCTTTTAGGGGAAAACTGTATTGATTAATCTTTAGTGTTTGTGTGGGGTTTTTTAACAATAAGGCATACTTGTGTAAAGGGAGGAGAAGTCCAATGTTTATAACCGTTACATGCATGGGGGAAGGGGGTATTGATTTTATGCGCTTTCAAAAACTATTGTTATTTGTTAGACCCTATCTGATTCACATTGTGCTTTCTGTTTGAAGCTTCACAATAATCCGATAGGCTGGTTTGATTTCCAACGGAATATATTTTGAATAAGTTACTTGGATTATTTTGTGGTTTTTTTTCCTATTTTTTATGAAAACATCTGTATTATTGGGAATTCAGTAGCTTGATTGCCGATCCATTTATTCATATAAATGAATGTTCGTAATGTCATAGGATAATTAAACAGCTTAACACTTAATAGAAGTATAGTATATCACGTCGTATTGTTCATTCAAAATTTAAAATTTTCTCTATTTAGAAAATTTGTTAATAAGTATTATTATATGAATGAACAGTTTCTCTTTTCTCATTATCTAAATGCATACGGAGTCATCTTTGATAAAACATTATATTCACCGCGGAAAAAGTCACAAGAGGTTAATGTAAGACTAGGAACAGCTTACGTGTACCTGAATATAGATATTCCTAGGCAACGACAATTACGTATATTTATGACTTTATGTATATATGTTTTATATATATATATCTATCGGCAAATAAATAATCTTAGATTTAAAAGGATATATTTCATTGGTATAACTGTGATTCAAAATAAACAACACACACATGATAAACCTATACATTTGAAAGACAGTACTGTTAAAATACATTCATACACTAAAAGCCATATGAGCAAAAAAGACCTAAAAATGATGTAATTTCGATGAATTTGACCATTTGTTGTATGTCTGTATGATCGTATAAGTGTCTAAATGCCATTTTATTTTTCTTTGTTGAAAAAGTTATTTGTTTACATATTGATTAAGATTATATTACAATGTTGACTGCTGTATCCCAATATTTGACATTTTTACCTATTATGTTTATTCTGCTCACACATTTTTGTCAATATAATGGAATTCTATGCGACTGTAATACAAGTGAGAGGTTTAGCTAGCTTTAAAACCAGGTTTAATCCACCATTTTCTACATAAGGAAATGCCTGTGACAAGTCAGGAATATGACAGTTGTTTTCCGTTCGTTTGATGTGTTTTAGCATTTGATTTTGCCATTTGATAAAGGACTTTCCGTTTAGCATTTCCCTTGAAGTTAGGTATTTTTTGTTATTTTACTTTTTTCTGTAGCTCTTAACGTTCATTTTATCTATACATCACTTGCTTTCAAATGTTAGAATTTAAGTGTTAGTTGTGAAGGTAAATCCAGAAGAGCGATTATATAACAATGTGTTATTTCATTCATAAAACAGTCAGTGAAATATAAAATCAAAACCTTAAAATTAAAAATGAGACCAAAATCATTCCGGAAGCAATTTTTCTTGAATTTTGATCATCGAAATTATTGGCGCTAACCCAATGCTCTATTTTTAAAACCTGTGCATCTTTTGAGAACATAACCGATGCAAATCTGAAATACTGTAGGCATAAACAATAAAGAAAATGGCTAATTCATAGCTCTTACCTGTTCCACACAGAGCGGCGATCACAATGACTGCGAGTAACATCTGAATTGACGTCATATTGCAATTGAGTGGTCTTGCGTGTTGATGCTGCTTTAAGTATGAAATAAAAGTCAGTGTTGTGAACAGATGTTTCATATAATATATGCAAAAATTATCAAGACATGCTTAAGTTTTAGATTAAAATATCAAACAACCACACAGTCATGTTATTTAAATCCGAAAGTCCTGAAAAAAAACAAAAAAACTATTGAGTATATTAATCGTATCGGAATACAATTTAAGTTTTGATGTATGAACACATCAAAATATAATAAGTAGTTTTATTTCACAACACATTAACACAAAAGGAAATTACCATTATATAATTGGGTGTAATGTGCATGTAAAAATAAAATAAATCTTCAGTTTCAGAATTTATGAGAATATGATTACAAAACATGTAATATTCATTTCTAAACATAACTGATGACAATTTGATTTACGTCACATTCTGTTGAACCCTTACTTGTAGTACAAAGCCATAACAGAATCAAAGCCTTTGTATACCTTCACAAATTTTACTTCTAAGTATCTGCACAACCAGAAAATGTGTAAACAATAGTAAAAGTAAAGTATTACAGAATCAACGAATTATATCGGGATAGAAATGAATCATAACATTCAGGTAGGAATCCAACAAAAGTATAATCAATGCATTTTCCGGAGATCAAACAGTAGGCAGAAAAATATTTATCAAACCCGGTTGAATTATTTTCAACACCTAAGAATCTTAATAAACTGTAATACAAGTGGGATGATTAGCTAGCTGTATAACCAGATTTTAAAATCCCCCTACCAAAGCAAGAATGTTAAAGTTTTGAACCCTGTTTCTTGATATAGCTGTTTTAATGGACTTCCCCGTTTTGAACATACCTTAAAGTTCGATTGTTTACACTACAAACCAGTAAAAGTCTAAACGGGCAGTATTTGTACTCGACTGTATTGATTTTTTCTAAACCATTCTGAATTTGTCTGAATTTCACTCAATAGTGCTCGACTCTATCCTAATCCATACTAAACAATATGAACTTGTATTCGAACTGTACATACATTGTACTTGACCGGTTCTTAATAATTTTAAAGACTCTTTTTCATACTCGACTCAGGTGTGAAACATATTCTACCAGTTCTTGACAACCCTCGACCTATTTTATTCTATCTCTCTTATTTCTTTTCTCCTTTCACATGATTTTTTCCATTGGCTAGAAATATTTGACCAAGTTGTAATTTATAAGACAGTGTTTTTTCAGATAAAAAAAATCAGTGTAAAATAAGTGCTTTATTGTTGGAAAAATAATATATATTTTATATTTTTATATATTCAAGATTGATACAGTAGAGGTTATAAAGTATGGTTCAGATCTTAAGAATAGTCAAGAAATTAAAATCAAGTCCAGAACGGGTTAAGTACTGTTCGAGTTCAGGTCAAGAAATTGTTGATAGATATAGGAAGATGTGGTATGAGTGCCAATGAGACAACTTTCCATCCAAGTTACAATTTATAAAAGTAAACCATTATAGGTCAAGGTACGGCCTTCATCACGGAGCATTGGCTCACACCGAACAGCAAGCTATAAAGGGCCCCAAAAAATTACTAGATTAAGTGTAAAACCATTCAAACGGAAAAACCAACGGTCTAATCTATATAAAAACGAGAAACGAGAAACACGTATGAACTACATTAACAGACGAGACTGTTTCAACCTAGTCAAGTATGCGTTGGGACTTTTCAGTATGGTCAAGATGAGGGTCAAGTACAAGTTCAATTTGCTAAGTATAGTTAGACTACATTCCAGTAGTAACGATTAGATTCCGGACCAATTCATAATAGTCGAGTACGAAAGGTGCCCATTTGAGACTTATTTTGTTGTGTTAGTTTCAACAATTTTTGACCATATGATATTTTTTAGCTGAAAAAAAAACAATTTTTCACATAAAGAATATTTGATTATACTGCTTTATTTGGATTTTTCTCAAACGAGAAACAGAAAATAAATGCCCACAATTTTAGCAGTCATTCATACATTTTTGTATTATTCAAATTTATCAGTCAATATGTGTTCTACAAGGATCACCAGTCTTTTACCTTTCATGTCATACCTTAATTACTTGAATATATTCTACATAGTTTGATTTTCACACCTATGCACAGGAACAATTTTGTTTTAAACATGTACAACTTTCCAAATATGTTCTTTTTTGACCGGGTACAATTTGGTGATGTTGCATCTTACAAAATCTATCCGAATTAGTTTTGCAAAAAATTACGCTCAAGCCGGTGTTTGGTGCCGTCTCAAACTTGCAGTGAGGCGAGAATTTATGTTTGCTCCGTATTGAAGGCCTTGCTGTGACTTTGAGCTGAAGAAGAGCAATAAAAGCACTGTTCCTTTTCTTCTTGAGTGTTTTTTGCAGTGCATTTAAAATGCAGTATTCGGTGATCAAGAACTTATTCTTGTATCAACGTTAATAAAATTCATTCATGAAAAAATGTCAAGTGTCACATTGTTTATTTATTTGATGGAGGGTTGCTTGTTTTGCCTTTTACATTTCAATGCCATAACATATAAGATAAATGTACGTTTATATTATTCACAACGATTTTGATAAAGTAGTTAATGCATTGTAATCAAAATTGTGTCATAACTCAAGCAATTTATGACTTCTTGAGGAAGAATACTATAAGGGCTCGTTGTGTAACGTCTAGGACGAATTTATAATATAGGAATTGGACACGTATAGTAGTTTTCATTGATAAATACGTTAATTAATTCAATTTTCTATAATTGTATTGATAACTTTTTGTAACTTATTTATTATCTTTCATAGTTTATCTACAAATCTGTTTATACACATAATTTCAATATTTGAAGTTTGTTTTCTTTATATGCATTAAATATTTTTAAGTTCTAATCATTCATTAATGCGTGAAACAAGCAGAATTTCTTTACGTTTAAACATAACTACAATTACCAGACGCGAATATGTATGTATATTTACAAATTTAAAAGGCAGACATCACAAATATTTTTTAACACTTGACTATCGTTCATTGTCGTATGGAAAATACGAAATACGTGCTACGGTTCTTTTTACCTTAAATATGTTGTTCTGATAATGTCAGTGAAGATTGGACACCAATCTAATGAAGTTTACGTCTGTGATTTCCCTATGCAAATTTTAGCTTCGAGAACATGCTTTGACAAGTAAACGAGTAAAGATAGATCTGAATTTTCATTTTATTCAAATTAGAACCTAAAATTTAACCAGATACCCAAATGACGAAAAGGAAAATTAAGATTCGAAAAGTAAACAATTTGTAAGACTTCATTCTTAAATTTTGAATAATTGTAAATCTACGCAAATAAAAAGAGAAATGTGATAAAAAGAGAAATACAGTAGTAACCGTACAATATAATTTGAGTGAGAACAGTTCCATACATTTTCTTTCACTACTCAAAGTTTTGAGAACTATAATTATACAGAGATAATTGTGACCTCTTACACCTTAACAAGTTTTGATAAGAATAATATACTCCATTAGGTTTTGATAGTCCCTCTAGATGTTTAGCTATATACTGTGATTCGGAACAATGTGTGATAAGAGAGGCACAGTTTCTAACAATCCATTGAAATTGCGATATATCTAATCTTCAAACCGAAGATAAATTGAATCAAGAAAACTTCAGACTCTAGCTTTAAGTTTAGGTGTTGTTAGTTGGTCGTCAGCGGATTTATTTTCCTGAGAAGTAATATGAATAAACGTATATTGAGCATAAACAACTCATAAGACGTCATTCTAGATATAGAACTGACATCATTAACAACAAATTATTTGAACGCTTGGTCACTCTGTCAAAACACAAATTGATATCTCAGTACGTATTTCATTTATAAAAAAGTCGTATGATACACAAAATTACTGTTTAAAGAATTTAAGAATGTATTTCTGTTTGAATTTAATGAATAACATTTTGTTTTGTCAAATTTCACAGAAATCATATTTGTCAAGTAGCAATATTTGTGTATTTCGATGATCATGAGGCGTTTGGAATCATTAAGACTGCTCGTATGAAGTACTTTTGAACGATAAACGGTCAAACAAAATAAAGTACAAATGTTGCTGCATTAAATATGACTCAAAGTTTGTTATTGTGTTGTGCTATTACACTACTTTGAAAGGTTAGGACAGGGTTGAGCATTTGTAAACATTTTTAAGGCAGGTTCCAAGTCAGGATCATGTAATTCAGCGGTCGTCGTTGGTCGCTGTCAGTCATGTTTGTTTTCGTTTCTTGCTTTTACACATTAAGGCCGTTGAATCGTTTCATAGTTTTTTATGTCGAGACGTTTTATAGCTTTCTATACGGTACGGTTTTGCTTGTTGTTGAAGGCCTACGCTGACAAATACTGCTTGCATCTACTTCATTTGATCTCAATTCATTAATGGCCACATTGGCAATCATATTGCATCTTTTCATTAACCTTCGAGAAGGTTGAAATAAAAAAAAAAAAAAAAAACGTGTCTAATCCTTTTTGCCTGTTTATTGGAGAATTATGTGTTGATAGTAGATCTTTGATATAGGTTTTATTCATTAAAAGGTTTTATACACTCAAAACTTTATATATTGTACATAGGTCTGTGTGTTATTGAAAATGCTCATTAACACGTAGTTTTTTGGTATTTGTATCGTAAGCTGCAGTCTAATTTTCATATTTAAACAGCTCCCTCTATTCGTAATGAAATTATAGCGTATGCTTGACGTTAAATTTTGCCCCACTGATTAGAAATTTACTGCAATTGTATGTAAATCGAAAATTTAGTGAATACTGTGCTTTGTTTAGTGCAAATTTCTTTGTTGAATCAATAAGGAACACAAAATATACCATATCATTAGACTTAACTATGATATAGCTTATATGTTGATATCTAAAATACAGTATCAACTCAGAAATATCAATATTTCTAATTAATTACGTTTATTTGGAATCGTTATATCTATTGATTTCACATGCAGCTGATTTTTTAGATGATTTTTCTTCAATGCTGTCTCGGTTC